GGAGAAGGGAGGGAAGGGGGGAAGCGGGGCGAAAGGGGAAAAAAAAAATATGCACAAGATCAAAAAGAGGTCTGCAAGCTGTCTCTGTGTAACTGTCTGAGAAGGAGTCACTCACAACCTGTCAAACGACTATCTTTACGTCAAGGAGGGAATTTACTGAGATCATATCCTCACAGAGTCTGGGCCTCAGTTCCTGTAAGTGGGATGCTGTTCCAAATCTATGCTCAGCACCTACAGCTACCTTTTCTTTCCATTTTTTCCCCAACCTTTTCCTCGACTCCCTCCTAAGAGGCAGGGTGAGTTCTGGCAAGAGTCAAAAAGTGAGCATGCTTTTAAGCCTCTCCTCTAAACTGTCTCCTGCAATGGTCAACTGCAGCAGCCATTTGATCTAACAGCTCTTGAGCAATACTTAAGACAGAACGCAGCTTGATCCTTCACAATGCCTTTTTAATATGCTAGAGGCAAGATGCCTTCATAAGAAAAGGGCTACAGAGAAACCACAGTACGCATGCAAAGAGTCAGTCAGCCTCACCAATTGGGCAAGAGGTGGAACAAGACAAGGAGTCTACTCAAATAATCTTCAAGGAGATGGAAGAGGATGCAGTTCCCTCACTAGAAACCAGACACACTACCATCAAGTACAGTCAATAGTACACAGAAGGCTCCTGGACTAATATAAAAAAAGCCTTCAACACACCTCTCCACCATTTGTGTGTAAGATGATATGAGTAATAAAAACATGACAAATCAAGATTAGCAATAGCTAACAGCAATTGTAAGGCCCATGAGTATTTTCATTTACTTCAACAAATCTCAGAACCCATCCAGCAGAGGACAGAGCCACATATGCAGACGAGTCACACCGGACACTTTGGCCAGCAGTATAGGAAGTGTTGGGAGTATGAATTAGTGCCAGCAATGGCTGCCCACATGGACCACATCACCAGTGTAGAGCTTGGGAGCAAACAAATCCAGGAAACAGACACATCAACATGCTTACAAGATTTAGAGTATATTCACATTGCTGGGGAATTATTTTTCAATCTCATGTCAAAAAAGATACTCCCTATGTTTTTGTGTATGAAATTCAGGTTTCCTACCAGTTCTACTTTCCCATCGGGTTGGAGCACTTCAGTCTGACAAAAGAGTTCAATTCCTTTGTTTCGATGTTTCCAATATAATGTGATTTCTGTATCTGTGCATTCTTCCCACTGCTGGAAAGGTGCAGCAGGATAAACTGTCAATGGAAAATCCGAGTTAGCTCTTGTAAAACGCAAAATATATGCAAAAGTATTTTAAGGTATTTTAGCTGAGTAGTAAAAGCAAGTAAGAAATACAGTTTTTTCTGCCAGTCTAGGAAAATCATAGAATGATTTGGGTTGGAAGGGACCTTAAAGATCATCCAGTTCCAACCCCCCTGCCATGGGCAGGAACACCTTCCACTAAATCAGGCTGCTCAAAGCCCCATCCAAGCTGGCCTTGAAACAGATATAAATTAGTGAAAATTAATTTCAGTATGTAAATGTAAGTAAATATTATACAAGATTACAAAAAAACCTTGTGTTGACTTGGAAATATTTTACAACATTGTGAACAAAAGAAAGAATCAGAGACTTTTCTTGCAAATCCAGTAAAATTCTCCAATCCAGGGCCTGGCTCCTGATGTAGCGTGGCGAGTAACATTGGCCACATTTCTACACCCCAGAATCCAGCCTCTTCACCAGAAATTTTATTCACAACTCTTACATTGACTCCTGACAGTAGTTACCCTCTGGTAAACAGTGCCAATGCTACTTCTTCCAAAAGATTTCTGAGATCATTTACTGCTATGTAAGCAGTATTCAGCGAGAGCCGTAGATCTCAAATTCTCCCATATTATCAGTCCAGTTGTAAAGAATAAGACATGGCAATGCAAGTGAGTGGTATGTTTACAGCTTTGGCCATTTTCCTAGAACTTCATGGACCATGAATTACAGTTTGAGGAATTCCAGACTCAAAAGAGCTTGTGTTTGATACAGAAAGTCCCAGCTACCACATGCAGAATTGGAAATGATGGACTTCAGTTTTCCTTTACTTGCTGACATTCTTTAAGTAAGGAAAATTCTACTGTAAATATGTCCACAATCAGAGAAAACATAAAGGACTTTACAGCAATCACTATTTAAAAGGTTAACTCATCATAAATATTATATATAATTTCTTTAACTTGTAACAATCACTAGAACTGGAAAAAGAAAATTGTAGTAAAACTCTAATGTACTTAGCACATTGAATGTAACCTATTCTAGCTTCTTCAAACAGGTAAGGCGGCCACAGGACCTTGGCAACACTGTGGTGGATGTGGTGGGGCTAGAGGACACAAGGAGAACTGGAAATACTGCTGGAGAACAGGAAATACCCAGGTGTTTTGAGGCAGGAGTAGGTAGGAACTTATGGGATCTGGGGCACACTGTCATAAAGGATACAACTAATAGGGAAGAAGGAACCACAGCCATCAGTTACAGAATAACCTGTTTTATTTCACTGATGATGAACAACTCTTCGTCCCTTACAGTAGCACAGCAAATGTTACTGTCCCATATTAGCACCGAGACAGGTTAGCACTATCACCTCTTTCCTGGCAGTAGCTGCTTACACCTGTATCACATCTCATTTGGAGACATGTTAGTAATTTTATTTACCCACTTTTCAAAATGTGCATCTCCATTTTATTTTGGAAAGACAGTAACATCAGCAATAATATTTTGGAGAAAGGACTGAATTCCCAAGTAGCCTTCACAGATATTTTTCTTGAACTCCCCATTTTATATCCTTGTATCATGTTGCTTCCTATATTATGAACCTGCTTCAGCAAAGCAGCAGATTTTGAAGCATTAAGGGGTCATTTCAATAACGAAATCCGACCTTTAACAGATTAACACAACTTTGCAAAGCTGAAACTGAAAGGACAGCAGATAATTATAGCACAGGGACTGATAACTAATGAAAACTGTGAAGATAAAAATCAAGGGCTTCCATACTTTAAACTGGGGCACTCAAGATCAGAAGGAGGACAACGCCTGCAACAAAAAACCCTCAACAAAGACATAGAAAACATCTTACTTCTGTGAGTTACATCAAAAACATCCATGGCAGTTTTCTTTCCCAATGGGTTTTCCACAGTCACTGTGATATTACAGATCCTCTGCTGGCCTATATCCCAAGAACATGAGCACTGCTCAGTACAACTTACTGTGCACAGATCCATTTTTTGGGAAAACCTATCAAAGAAGGGGTGGGGGAAAAGGGGAGGAAAAGAGAGAAAGACATTTTTCCATAATGTAAAATCGACATAGATGTTGAAATTTGTGATGCCTAACTAGAATACAGCATCATAAAAAATAAGGCTGAGGGGGACTGTAAGAAACCACACAGTTTTTTCCCCTATCCTGAAGTAGGATGAATATAAGTATTCTTACAATTACAAGAAAGTTTTCTTCAAAGTCAAAGTTTACTTTATGCTTTTAAGATACAGCTAAATTGCTTTTAGTGATTTCCTCATGGAAATTCTAAACTAGGGACTTATTTGCTAAGAATTAAACCATTCATGTGTCTACCATTATGCTTTTAAACGAAGCGGTAATTTAAAGTGCATCTTCTAATCTTCCATTTTTAAATCACCATCATAATATCTCAATGGAAGTGAATGATGCAGAGACCATGAAGGTATATGCAATGATGACCTGCCTTCTGCTGAGACCTTTTGATGAAAGTTTGTAGTGATAATGAAGCATCTGTCCTGTTTTATGAGTTCCCCCTTCTCTGCACGCCCTCCTGTAAAGCCCCTCTCCTCTCCATTTAGATGCCTCTGTAGCAAGGAGCCATGGGCCAGGTCTGATATGCCACAGCTGTGTAACCTTGACTCAGATTGCTACGAAAGAGCTGTGAGAAAGTCTGCAGAGAGATTTTACAAAAAAAAAAAAAAAAAAAAGCTGAAATTATGGTAATTATAGACAGAAATAGGATTTTTGAGATAGGATTGTCAGTAGCTCAAGGACTCAAGAAGGAAAACACCAGCGTGTGAAGTTATGAACTCCTAAAGAAAAAGAACTAGGCAGGCTATTCAGGCTAACTGAGGGTTAGCTGGGAATCATCAGTTTGAATCAGCATTAGTGTCAATGGATTGTGAACACACTAATATTCATCCTACCAGCTGATTAAATCTTAGTTATCTGTTGTGTGTGTTACCCAATAATTACGTTTCACTTTTAAGTTAGCTATACCCTGATTGCAGGCTGTCTTCATACCTACTGAAAAATACTCAAACAAATTAACCCAAAAGAATGGTTAGTACAAGCTTTAGCAAGCAGAACCTGGTCTGATGGACCCGCAACTTTGTTATAGGTAGTCTAATTCAGAGCAGTTCTGCACTGCTCAAACTTTGCTAAATAAGCTGATCAGTGAGCTGAAGAGAGGCAGGCAGCTAATCGCAACAAGAATAAAAAAAACATTTCCACAGATTTTAAAGGAAAGAATGTGACTGTTCTGTTCAGCACAAGCCAGAGTTAATATAACAATGAGGAGACTGACCCTTCAGACAAGGTGTATTTTGGTGAATGACGTCCATAAAGATAGGTGTCTCCTCCTTGGCTCCAAGTACATGTTACTATTCTCAGGTCTTGAGTTTGGCAGGAAAAATCATTAGGTGTATCAGGTGGTTCTTGTCAGAGGGAATAACCAAAAAATCACCAACAGAATGGCAGTCAAGGCGAAAGTAATCAACCTTTTTACTGTATTAACAAACTAGAAATAATGGATATGTACAAGGTCTGGTTTACTACAGATGTTATTATTTCAATTATACTTATTCAATGACCACTCTGCAGAGAAAAGCATAAGGTTTCTCTGCAGAGAAAACCTCTGCAGGGTAACACCGTAAGTTAATTGCAATCCAAACACTTCTGTATGTTATTATTTTTTGTTATATTCATACATTCATTAATTTAACCTGTATTGTTTTCTATCTGTAAAAATTGCTACTAGCCTTAGAAAGGGGGACTGTGCTGAGGTTTTACCACATGCACACAGACAATGAAGCTGAACTCCTAAATGGGTAGGTGTATTTAAAAATCAGTCACCTGTCCTGGGATGAATTAACGAAGTTAATCTGAACACATTTAATGTTGTCCTTTAATGCTTTCTATATGCAAATGTACAGATCTGAAGTCAGACATTAAACAGAGTTCAGCTGGACATGATAGAACAAAAACAACCTGCAAGCTTCTTTTCTTTTCTCCCCCCATTCCCCATAGCCATTCTTGACTTAATAACAACAGGAAAATAGAACTGTAATAAAAGCATTCACTTACTACCCACAATGAAAACTACTTGATCATAGCATTGATCTTCACTGCAAGACTCTTGACAGTAGGCAGTGATGTGAGTCACTTCTTGATGTGCCACATTTTTCACAGTGAGAAGTCTGACTTGACTGTTTGTGTGATTGAAAACATGAACAGCTGGGACTATAAAGAATTCCTTAATGATTTGACCTTTACTTCCAATGCAACAAAGAGTGATGTCAGAGCCTTCCTCTAAAATTTTTTCATTTGGAAAGATTTGTGGTCCACTGTTATTTGAAGTGTCCAGGCCTGGAAATTAATACATAATAAACCATTTCAAAATCTGCTCATGGCAGCAGCCTTCAACCAGAACACATAAATGAGCGTTTACACAAGAATCTGCTAATGTTCTATTTTCCATTCATGGACTTCTATTTAGTATTCTTCCCTATACAGATTTCAACTTCACATGTAATCATACCTGTATTTCTCTTAAACCCATAAACATATAATGTAGTCCAACAAACTACCTAAGAGACTAAATCCATCCCACTGCCTTTCCCTTAGCGGAAACAAAGAGTGTGCGTTCAAGAACTCGCTTTACAGATGAACACTACCTCCTGCATCTATGAACAGGTTGATGCTTACAGCCAAAATCCCTGCTCTTGAAGATATGAGCAGGGGGCTAGAAAAACGTCATGTTCTGAAGCTCATGCAGAGCTCAGCTAATAAAAGTCAACATTGAATGAATCAGATCAGTAAGGGGATACTCGGCTTGGAATGAGACTCCTGTGGCTTTCAATGTTGGACTCCTTGCTGGATGCAAAAATTAGTGGGATTTAAGTGACTCACAGGCTTTTGCACAGGTTGGAGATAAAATCTACTCTCAAGAATCTGATCCAAAAATTTGATGAGAGAGCTCTAAATCAGGTCTGTAATGCAGGATCACTTTGTGACAAAGAAATAGTATTTTTGATCCCTACCCAATTTCAGTTCAAAAAATAAAATCTCCAAGATTGAGGTTAGTGAGAAAGAAAGGAAGTCTTGCATCCTATTTCCCACTATGTAAGGCGAGGGAGAAGAACAATTTATGTGCCACAATCCAAGTATACAGACCTGTGATGCTTGTACTACCCATGACATCTCCTATAACTAAAAGCCCTTGCTGCTCCAAACAAAAATAGTGTTTATTTACAAAATCACTCTAGTCATTTTTTCTAAAGCAGTTACATATTTTGTTTAAACCAAATTCTCCGGAAACCAAACTGTTCTAGTAAGACATTGCAATCTGAAAAAAAAAGGTTTTTGTGGTATCAGTAATTTCATTATTGGTCTCACTCTGTTTACTTTCATATAATTCACAGAAGTTCATTCCAAGTGACATAACTAGCTGACTTGCTCCTCTCTGTCTCTGCTTCTTTAATACTAATCAAAGCTATGAACCCTGGACAAAAGCAACACATGCATCAGATGATGTAGCCATAGCTATGCGCTTCCTCTCCTCTCCCCCAGTCCGGGCCAGGGCTGCATCTGACCTGGTGATAGGCTACACTAGAGCCTGTCCAAGATCCCATGCCACTCTATGTACTGCATTGTTTTAATGTATGAGCAAGAAAAACTCTAAAACTTTTGGTCTACTAGCTTAGGAAGATAGCCTGCAGATTAAAATAATGGCTGAAGCATTGCTATTATTGCCAGCAAAAAAAAGAGTTGGTTAGTGCTTAGAGATGAAAGAGTTCAAAATGGATTCTTGATTTGATGCCATCTCTCATGAATTGGACTTCACTGTTACAGTCACCGGTGAATTACAATCTAGCTTTGTACTGGGAAAAATAAAACCAATATTGCAAAGTAATGTTTTGCTTACCCAGGACAGTCTCCCACAGACTCCACTGACTCCAGATTTTTGATGCTTCTGCTTTGCTCCTGATTCTCACCGAGTGTGACATACACTCTAAAGGTAAGTCTGAATTCCATAGCCAATGAAGAGGCTTTCCTGATTTATCAAGTGTGACGTTATGAAACTCCTACAAAGAAAGGCCAGTAAAGCAAAGTATTGAAAACACAGTGATGTGCAGACACTTTGGAAGTACGATCAAAAGCAGTGAGAGAGAGAGAAAGCTCAAAGGAGGAAAATGCTTTTGAAAAATAAATCTCTGAAATCCCACTTGCTACACGTGATCTCACATAACTAGTAAGCTAAGGAACTGCTTACAAATCTGTACTAGCAGTGGTGGAGTGACTGATGTGCTGGCAAGACTACTTGATTCTGACAACATAGTTGGGAGTCAGGCCCTGCTTCTCATGAAATGAATTCGCTCTCAGAGACTTTCAGTGGATTATTTGTGCCTGCTATTACATAAGTAATAGCATGCACAGACACCTTGTCTAAGCTCTGGGTTACATACCCCTGGCT